CTTGGAATGGGCTTGTTGTTTGCTTGAAGTCCTGGTGAATTTCAACAATCTTCCAGTTTCCACAATCCAAACCGTCCCAAAAGACCAACTGACAGATGTTGTTCAATGACTGACGGTCATCAGTTTCATGGCATGCACATCATCAGCCTGATTTGCTTTGCTTTGCCTTGCCTTACCTTTGCTTTGCCTCTGGCTTGGGGCTTGGGGGTTTGGGGCTTGGAGGCTTGGGGGCCTCGGGCTTGGGGGATTGGGAGATTGGAGGATTGGGGGATTGGAGGATTGGGGGATTGGGGATTGGGATTGGATGATTGGGATTGGGTTTGGTTGGATTGGATTGGATTTGATTTGATGCCCTAAATGAATTTAATCGCTGGTCCTGGCCACTTGCGAGAACAGATTAATTGTAGCCAAATGTGTGGGAACCGACCAAGAATTGCAGTCAAAATGATGAAGGTTATGGTCCACACATAAACCATTTCTATGTAGGTTTTGAGCAAACGCTTCAACTGTCTGTTGTCCATGTAAACATGGTCGGGTTTTTTTGTTCGAGTCATTGCAGCTATTTTCAGCTTACTGAACTGACTTGTACAGGTTTGGTCCGCTCAAACCCATAGCTGACCATTTTCAGTCGCACTCCACGTGCGCGCAGTGAGCATGTGGAGTTTGCGGACATTCCGTTTTGTTGTGTTGTGCCAATGCGCACTTTTGCCTTTCGGCTCTCGATTGGAGGACTGCTGGAGAGTGACTGTACGTGCTTTGGTCAGGCTAATTGCTGAACATTTACTGTACCCTTTGGAACAAAAATGGAAGTGGATTGGGATGGCACCTTGGAAAATCATTTTCCCCTGCAAATAGGGGGTGAACTCCACTGTTAGTTCCACGGAGGGGGAGTATGAATCATGACGAAAGGTTGGATATTTGGTCCACCAGTCTTACCAGGGATTCTTGAGCAAATGTTGGAGAGCGTTGACCAACCATTTGCCAGGATGTGGATGAGCTGGAAGCACAGGACTGGGAAACGCGCCCCCCTGACTTCGCAAGTATATCGACAGAACAGATCAACCTGGCAAATTTATATACCCGTTTTTTTGTTTTTCCAACTTTGAAAGCAACCACCAGACCACCAGAGGTTTTGCCAGATATTTTCCTCTGCAGAGGAGGCTTTTCAACTTGTTTTTGTTTGTTTGTTTGTTTGTTTCACGGTATTGGGATGTGTTGTTTGTGTATTATGAGTCTGGGGCTTGAATGAACTGTGATCACATGTATCCGTCGGCTTCAACGCAAGGAGATTGCCACACCTCTTCCGCAGCTTCTACGCCACACCTTAGAACTGTAAAACTGGTGATCAGATCGAAAGACCACCTACAAGCAATGGCCTCCAACCCAATAGCGATGGCCTCCAGAGGAAATGAGAGGTGGGATGAAAGTCCAAGGAAGGACTCGACTCAACGTGTAAGACAAGTTGTGCAGCAAATCAACATGTCCATCAGTCAAGCTTTGAAGGGCCAGCCAGTATAGCGTAGGAAAGTTAGAAGTACCTACACAAAAAGACTTGTTTTGTTGGACGTTCACCTTTGTCGGACCTTCTAGCGTAACATGTCGCATGGGTATCCACTAGCAGATTTTTGCTGTTGAACCTTTGTTATTTTGAAGCACTTCTCAGTTGCACTCATCTGAGGGTCAATTCAACTCAAGTTCACGCGATCATCGTCATTTTTTCTCGATTCGATCGCTTGAAGCCGGCTTGATTCGTTTCGTGTGCTGGTCTTCTGCAAAATCTGAGTCAAATGGCCGTTTGAAAACTTGGAGGTGCGTTGAATGAAACAGAAGATGACCCCTTTCAGCAGGAGATCTTGGTACTTCAGCAGTCTCTACTGCAGTCCTCCTTGCTCAGGAGCAGGCAGGGGATGGCCTTGATGGTGCAAGGAGCAGGGTGGACCTCAATATATAGTAAAATGTGCATGTCCTCCACGCCACAGGGTGTACAATCGCATCACTGCATCTTTATCTTACACTCCTGAACGACTCTGCAACTAAGATAGGACCTCAAAAACAACTCGTTTGTCTGTCCTTATCGGCGTGTACCTCCTCTCTCCGCTCAAAGACCGGGCAAAAGACGATCGGGGGGGAGACGACCGAACAACTGCCACACCGCGAGCACTGCGAGCACCGCGAGCACTGCGAGTCGATGCATCGTTGATGCATCACTCCGCGCAAGGTTTGTGGACCATGTGATTGACTCAGTCATTTTTTGGACCATGCGTGTCACTTGCAAGACACATCCTGCTAGGTCCAAGGTTGTACGCAAGCAGGACGCTTTTCTGGTGAAGGTACAAAGATGATGCGAACAGAAGGGATGGTCCTCTTCCGTCAGTTTATCGTGGCCTTGCCGTTGTTGAGGTGTTTCTTTTCGAGGCAAGCAGGACACAGCAGGTTGACCACGAGTAGTGACTATTGAAACGACGGTGTACAACTGACCCACGTGTCCCCATAGGGGAAGCCACGTCAGTGCAGTTGTGAAACTGTCATCCTGTCGCGCATTACAACTGTGGAGTACAACAGGCTTCACACGCTTGACATTTCAGAGGTTGCCACACTGTTTTCTTTGGGGGGAGCGTGAACCGGTCAGAAGTGCAAGAGTTCTGGTAGCCAGCTTGCCCGAGCCTACCAAGCCTGACTTGTTATCTCGACACTTCTCGCACACCCCTTTCTTGGACCGCTGATCGACGTACCCCATAAGAGCGTCTAGATACACGTGCAGAGCAACCCAGATGGGTAGAGCTGGTTCTCGTTCTTCTCTCGTTCCAGGCTCTCCATATCCCCGGACGACAAAGAGAAAAGATTTGCTCTGGACGAAGTTCGAAAAGCTTGGTACATTCACGAGATGCTCGACATGACTGGCGCATGACAAGGTTGGAGTTGTAACTCGATGTCCACCTGTGGTCATTCCGTGGCTTGCGCTTTGCAAAACATGGTCTTCAACATCCAGAGCCAGCGGGCCAACATCGGGAAGTTTTTGGGATGACAATTTGGTGGATGGATCCTTCAGCCAGTTTTGACCCACCCTACTAGATGTTGGTCAATCATTTCAAACATTTGCAGCTCAAAATGAAATCCAACCTAGCCCTTGGTGGGGTAGGAAGATCTTGATTATGAGTTGTGGATCTTCCTACATCTTCTTCATCTTCGCTCCGTTGTTTGTTCCTCAGACAGGCACAGCCAGACACCCGCCACGAGAATCGGCACCGGACACCAGCCACGGCCACCCGCCGATCGATGCGACCTGAATCGGTCGCCGAGGATCAAGGAACGACTAGACTTGGGCGATGTGAAAGAGGCGGCCTGGGGGGGCAGCCTGGGGGCTCCATGAAGGGACTCTGGCGGCCAGGGACTCTAGGAATCATGTCGGAAAACCTTGGGACAGGTTCAAATAGCTTCGTCTTGTATAGATCAGAGAGATCCTGCTCGAGTGCAGGATTCGGCTTACATCATTTGTGTCACAAGGAGGCCAAAGGAAGGTTGTTGCCTCCCTCATCCGGTCGCACAGGACTTGCTCAGTCAGCTTAGCTCGCTGCAGAAGCAATGCCCCGATGCCGAGGACTGATGCGATGCCCTGGGGCCTGGGGGGTGGAGACCGGCTGCCAGGGGACTTACCAAGGGACCTGCTGGGGACCTAAGTTGGAGGCGCAGCACTGTGAGAAGAATCGTGGAAATTGCTGCTTCACATTTGCTCATGTTGCTGACACTGTCAGGAGATTAAAGCTCAAATGGCAGATATCTGGGAAGAGGCGCTTGGACTGTGGCCGGACTGGGTGTCTTTTATCTTGTGTCCAGAGCCAAAGGCCAGTGCTTTGCCAGAGGATAATGCATCAACTAACCCCTTTAGTTCCTGGACACTCAGCCTTCGCAAGTGGTTCGGGCAAAACTCAGCCCCGCTCTGAAGAGCCTGGAAGATCCAAAGACTTGCAGCGGCCAAGAACGGATGGAACACCTGCGCTCAGGTGGGGATGCAGCCAACCTCCCAAAACTGTGAGGGACCAAATGAGCTCCCAACCAATCGCCCGGTGCCCAGCACCGGAAGACACCGCGCAGAAGCGGCCACCCTTGGCCACCCTTCAGACGCCTAACAGGTGGAGCGATGGCGCAATGCCACTTCGGAAAGGATGGGCCGCAGAGCACCAAGCACGCAAAAGCACTCCTTCGCGAAGGCATCACATTCCCACAGCAAGTGATTCATAGTCAGAATCAAATCCCTTAAACCACAAGCAGGGCAGCCATGAATGTGTTAATCCTTGGAAGATTAAAAAGAAGCCGGCGACAACGTAACGCCCGACAGAATCTGGAAGTCTTTCAGAGACACGAGGGCAGCTGCTTCTTTCGCCCGCGAAACTTGAGATTCATCATATTCCACCTGGCAAACAGCCGAGTCACGACGCCCTTCATTATGAAAAGCAGTCCACAAGCACCTGCGGAAGCTCTCTCGGAGATCATGACCAAGGTCAGGCCATTCTCGCTAGTGCCGCCGGTCAAGGCTTAGGTGCCTCTGTAGGGCGGGATGCCACCACATCCAGGGTGTTAACAACTGAATTTGTGTTCTGAATTCATGAATTTGTGCTAGGTGCTGAGTCACACGGCCCTATGCATAACAGAAACAAAGAAAAAGAAAAGGACAAGGACAAAGAAAAAGAAGACAGGGAAGGAAAGAAAGGAAGAAAGAAAGCAAACAAGAACAAAAGAAGGGAAGGAATCATTTGGTGTTGTAGTGGATGCACCCCCCACGTCACATGCCGGGTGCCCCTGCGATGTGTCCACCAGGTGGGTCGATGGGTGAAGGCCGAGGACCTGCGCCTCGCCATGGAGCGAGAAGCCCAGAGCATCGAGAGCCTCAAGGCACGCTGCTCGTGGCGTTCTACGCGCGGGACTGCGCGCGGTGGCATGTTGGTCGGCGAATGGTTGGGTCGGATACAAGTGGACAAAGCAAGCACCATTGTTTTGTTCCATGGAAGTCACAAAGAGAGGAGTTTTGCTGGTCCGACTTGGGTTAGCACTTGCTCTTGCCTGGCCTAGTTTCTTCTGTTTTAGATCCGCTGTTGAGCAGGAACATAATTAGATTGAAGAGTCGTCTCCCGTTTTGGAGACACATCGATCAAGCGCATGACATTAGGGGCCTAACATCGGCGCAAAAAAGAAAGCACATCGAAGCAATAGATCATTCACAGCTTGAGATTCATCCAGCTGGGAATTCATTTCAGAAAGCCTTTGGTCCATGTGATTATCTTTATTTGAAAAGGCAAGCTGCTTGAAGCTGTGTCCGTTTTTGTTTCTCTGTTTAACACACATAATTGAGCTTGGGACACAAGCTTGTACAGGAGTGTCCCGTTCATGCCAGGCCCGAATGAACTTAGATGTGGAAGGTACCAAGAACAAAATTAAAGAGTTACAGCTGCTTGGCAGGGCCTGGGACCGACATTTGGTCAGACCGACAGTGGTGGGATTGGTTCTGACTTGGCAAGCATGGTGAGGGATCACAGTGCACGAACGAGTGCTTGGGTTTTGTAGGGTTCGCTTGGGCTCCAGGCTTCACGGTGGTGACCAAAAAGTGCTCCTTTGCGGCATAGTGAGATGATGGGATCGAAGTGAGATGCTGTCAGCATCGTGCAGGGAATCCGTGGGAGTCAAACCACCTGGGTCAGTTGAAAAACCATTCCAGCACACCGATCAAAAAAGATCTCTGAAAAATGAGTCTACTGACCAGGGGTGACTTTTGTGACTTTGTAGACTACAATCGACTTTTCCCTTCCAATGATCGCCAAGGATGCAGTGTGAGAATGTAAGCAAAGCCTTCACCAAGGACCAAGAAAGCAGGCCGAGAGCGAGCAACGTGTCTTTTTTTCCCATTTGGGTCGCGCTCCAAAAACGAAGTGAGCTCCTGCTACATTGCTCAGCACGTCCCTTTCTATGCAACTAGAGCTATTGAGCATCGGCTCGTTTGGGGGGTGGTTGGGTGTCATCCACATTGACGTTGGCCTCTCCCTCGGCCGCACTGGTTTTACTTTGGTTGCGCTGGTTTCAGACACTGCTTCTTTTTCCCGCCATGGCCATTAGTTGCGGTTTACTGGCCATGCATGGCCATGCATGGCCATGCGAAAATTGGGAATAACAACCACTCCGGCTGTCTCCGGCCACTCCAGCCGTTGGCCTCCGGCCTCAGGAGCTTGAATTTTCGGATCAATAGGCAATCCTCAAGTTTGATTGAACATGCCCAAACATGCCCATTCTTTCTTTTTGGATTGTCACAAAATCATCCACCTAAAGATAACTATGCCGGGAATGACTGGTTCCAGAAGGGAGCTTAGATGGTATGCAAACCTTGTTTGGGATGAGTCTTAAACGATGGACGCGAACAAATCCACGTGGTCGAAGTAAGAAGCTGCCCTTTTGCTGCCTGGGATGCCAAAGAAAAGGTCGCCTGGCACGAAAATCTCTCTCGGGATGGAGGGAACCGTCTGCCGGACTCGAGCGGAATTTTCGGAGAGGCTGTTCGAAATCGTGAACGTGGCAGCACGCTTGTGGCATGGCTGCGTTTTTGCGCAACGTTGGACCCCACGTTGGTCTCCGTGTCAGTCTTCACGGTCCTGATCCTGAGCGAGTTTTGGTGTTTTGGGCGAAATTCGGAGTGAGAGGAGCTCTGAGAAGTTTGGCGGACACATGCAATGAAGCTTGGGGATCGGAATATATCAGCTCTTTCATGGAAGGAGAGTGAGAATCTCCAGGGCGGTCAAACGAAAATAGACTGCCATAAAGGCACAAAGATATGAACATCGCTACCAGTGGAGACTTCCGACCTGATCCGTCCATGATGAAAAGTCCGAAAAAGAACACAATTACTCCCAACACTGACCGCAATTGGCAAGAGGCCTTCTTCTCACCTAAGTCACTATGTGGTGTGTATTTCCACCATCATTGATGGTTCGAAGCCTGATAAGACATTTTGGTGCTTCCATGCAGGCTGCCATGACCCACGGCCAGTGGAGAGATATTTCGCTTGATATTCTTTGTATCTCCGTGTTTTGGAAGAAAGAAAGGAAGAAAAGACGTGCCACCCGAGCCCTCAGGGCCTCAGGGCCCAGCGAAAACAGCTTTTGGTTAGCTTTTCAACGGAGGCGCTCCGCCATGCCAACCCAATCCGAAGCCAAGCAGACCAGAACAAGAACCAATCCGAAGGGCCAGGCAATTCAAATTCTGGTGGGGAATTTTCTTGAGCAAGATCCTTAGGGATAAATGGTCCCTTTCCATCCACTTCCTAAGCCTTGGTCTTATGTTTGTTTCTCTTCAGTTTAGAACCGAAGGAAAAACCATTACAGTAAAGTAAAGACAAGCAGAGTCTAAAATAAGCAGCTCATATCGGTCACACCCACATCACCACGAACTCACCGGGCTTGGGAGTCGAAGACCATGTCGCCCTCCTCGTTCCTGAGCCAATAGAGGCAAGAGCTGCGTTCCGAGGCAAGAGCTCAAAAAGCTCATCTCCAATGCGGTCCATTCCGATGACGTCCGCGTGTGGCAGGCTCGGCTTGATTCCATCCAGACTTCTGTGTTTGGTTCATTTGGCTTGTTTTTTCATATGTTTGGGAAGAAGCAGTACTATTGCGCTGATACTACTGGGCATGTAGAGATGACCAACTTGCATCGTGCAACCTTCAACCTGAAAACATCCGACATCCTCAGAACTGATCCGTGGCCAACGGCGCGATCTTTGCCCCTCCGGGAATCGGCCGCAGGAGCAGTATGATCCGCTCCAGAAAGCGTACAAGGACTGGGTGAGACAACACTGCCGCGGTGAGCATCTGCACCGAAGAACACATTGCCTTGGATTGAGATGCTTTTTTGCTAGTGAAGGTTTTTGATCGGTTGGCTCCCGCAATTCAACTGGACCATTTGAGTTCCACTCCCCGATCTCCCGAAGCCACTAGGTCACTAGGTGTTGGGCAGATCAATTGGCCAAGTGGCCAAGTCCGACAGGAACTCACCAAAGACTTGAATGATAGTCAGCTGCAGCAGGCCTTCCAATTTGCCTCTAAGCCTTGCAAAAGTCCGTCGAGCTCTGTGGGTTTTCGAGATCGGGGGGTTGTGGGGCGCTGCATGAACGAAGCGGTGGCGAATCCACTGATTTTCTTTCTGCCAATCAGCGAGTTTTCTATGGACTATCAGGGCTGCCATGTTCCTGTTTCTTTATTTTCTTCTTCTTTTAGTTGGGTTCCTGTATCTTGGGAGAGCGGTGTTAGTCACCACCGGCCTCCGAGATTGGATAATATTTCGGCACTAAGGTGACTCTCAAGCAGGATATTGAGACAAATGAGGAGCAGATCTCCAAGGAGCACATCGAGGGCCTCTTGGCTGATTTAGTCAATCCGGCGCTCCAAGAAGCGGTGGTACACGTGGCTTTTGCAGCTGCCACAGGATTGACAGGTACATGTCCATTCAATCTGGTCTGGTCCCATTCTTTTTGTGCTTCGCTCCTCTTCAGGCCCTCAAAACCACGTACCACGCTTCGCTTCCGTCCGCTTTCGTCGGCTTCCGTGCCGCACCCGGACACCGGGCTCCGGTCGGCTCGGCCCGTGGCCTCGGTCGGTGGCGAGGCCGTCGCACGTGTTCGTTGCGTGGCTTCAGGTGAATTGAAGAAATGGACTGAAGTCCCACAGTACAGATACAATGCACTGCAAAGGCAGTTGGCCAAACTCAAGCAGGAGAGAAGGGGACACACGTCAATTTTAGCAGATGTGGACGGTGAAATGGCACTGAAGCGGGAGGTTTGGACCGTTGTTTCTTCCTTCTGTACAAGAAGAGCTGAACCTGAGAGAAATGGAACGAAGGACCGGTTCACAAACCTGTGATGCGAGCGTCAAACCCAGGTAAAGGTTTTATGCATGGTCTGGGAGCCCACCCATTCTTTGGAAGCCATTGTTTGTGAGAGCTTTCTCTGCTTGGCCGCCCAGGTTGGATTTGCCATGGGGAACATGATCTCACGTTGGTATATAACTACTCACGGCAAGGGATCCTGCAAGGGACACATTCTGGAATCACGCCAGCCATAAACAAGAGCGACTCTTGTTACGCCTGATCTTTTGAGGTGACTTTTCGGCTCCCCTGACAAGGCCCAACTCGACCAGGGATTCCGGTCTCGTGCCAGGATCTGGATGTCAACAGCATTGAGACGTGGCGGGACCGTTTTGGGGGGGGCTGCGGCGGGTTTTGACTCCAGCTTTTTCGATGATTGCTTTGGTGAGTACTTTCCTTGGTGGGTGCCACTGGCACCTGCTTGTCTGGAAAATCTGACGCCACACGATGACCTTTCAAAATTACCACATGGACGTTTCACTGTTTTTCGAGGTGTTTTTTTCCTTCGAAGACTTTTGCATCCTGCTATGACTTCCACATTGCCATCATCCCACGCCTTTCCCCTGGCTGAGGAAAGTCAGATCATGGCAATCTGGTACAAGTCCTTGCATGACTTGCCGGACATGGCTGACTTGTCTGGGGCCCAGCAACCGCATGAAGACTTCTCTTTTTTGATTTGTTGTAAAAGACGAGAGTTTGTTGCTTAGTGGAGATCGGAGGTGTAAGTCAGCAAACTCATAAGTCGCAAGCTGGTGCTATCCCCAAAAGGACTCCAAGCAGTCTAGACTAGGCTGTTGGTTTTGGAAGACCTTTTCCGCCTTCTGGCTATTGGTTTGCTTCTTCCATTCGTTAAAGCTGCCAGCCTGCGGCTGTGCTTCCTACACCCCGCTGACCTGTTGCACCGCGTGCAAAGTGGCCACAGAGGAAGGATGCCACACATGTCAAGCACTGCTCCTATCTAGGACTGACTTACCAAGGCCTTTTTGCAAGTATTGGTCAACGAAAGGAAACTGCGCAAGTAGTTTCAATGCTGCCTTTCGCACCTTTTTCTTCTTTGCACAGCTGCATTTCAGCCCGAATTTTTATACAGTTCATTCTTGCTGGTAGTCAGATCCGTCACTTCTACCGGAGCATCGACCGATGCATCGCATCGCCCATGTCTGTCCTGCGACCGATGCCTCGAGCTCCAGGCGAAATGCTTCGAGCCCATGAGGCGCCACTCGGCAGGTGCGGTGCAACTCGGAAGTCGGTGTGTCTTCGCTTCGCAGGAAGTCGGAAGTCGTGTCCTGCAAAGACTCTGAAACCACGAAAGGTGGCCAGTTGGCTGGTTGGCGCAGGTTCTTGCGTGGGATGCGCATCCATTTTGGATGATCCAGAACGGCCAGGCAGAGCATGGCAGACCGGTTGGTGGAGATCAGAGTGAGTTCCCAGGCCATCCGCAACATTGAGGTTCCATTCAACTGCTCTTGAAATTACAATTTAGTTTCCAAGAGGCAACAAAGTTTTACTTTTACCTTGATGGAAAAGTCCAAACCAACCAAGAGATTGTTGGTGTGTGTTGGAAACGTCAGCAATTGGCAAGCACCAACACTGGTAAATAGTCTCATTGGGGATAGACGTGGACGGATTCACATGTACGAAGTCGCTGGGACAACCAGGACACTTTCGAAGGGCTCAGACACCATGACACTGTTGTGTCATCACCTTGAATGAAGTATCGAAATCGACTTCCACATTGTTTTTTTGCATGGATCAAGAGCTTCCATACAAGGCATCGACTTGCACCTCGCACTCTTTTCGCATCTCTTTGTTTTGGATGACTGGAGGCATTTCTTTTGCGTGTCTCACGGGCTGGACCGTTCGTTCAGCGGACCTTCAAAAGGGCCCACCCGCGCTCGGAGCGACCGAGCGGGGTCTTGGCACCGGTGGGGCGGTCGGAAGAGGAGTCTGAGAAGATGAGGGAAGCTGAGCCTTTGGGATTTGTGAGATTTGGGTGTTATGTTTATTTTCTCAAATCACCAACATCATGCAATCAGTTCTTGGTCAGACGGTCATTTTCTTCAGGGCCAAATGGTTGCAATCAGCAAGATGCAGAGCACCCTTCCTTCCAAATCTTAGGATGCCACAGCCTCGCCTGTGAAAGTGATTGGCCAACCTGCCAGGAAATTGCAATATCTCTTTGTGTATCTCTACCTGGGCCGTAGAGATTGCTTTGCTCTCGGGCCCCAGCATCCAATACGCTGATGTTCCTTGGGCCGGTGTCACGTTCCATTCGCTATCGGTTTGACCGCCAGAACGGAGTCCCTTTGACCACTTTGGGTGGCCAGAACTTCGAGACCCAGAACTTCGTTCCGCTGCCTTTGGGATCAGGAATCTTTGCCACATGATCCAATCTAAAGGTTTGGAACCGTTTGAGAACCTCAGAACCAAGTAAGTCAATACTTTCCACGCCATGGCGCTGATAGACGGGAAGTCATCATGATCTCCTAGGCTTCTTTCACCCCTGAGATGACCGAGCAGAGAGCAATCTCACCATTTTCCCCCTCAACAGGATCGAGCCTTCTTGAAGATGATACCATCTGCTGAGCCGCTTCACGTTGAAGCCAACTGCACGTGACCACGTCGCGTGGATGGAGCCACTTCCGGCCCTGTGCTGCAGGGACCTGAAAGGGCCCTGGCCAGGCTCGGAGTCGGAGTAGCCCTTTGAGAGTTAAACCACTCCAAGGGATGGTGGGAGAGTTGTATGTGGCAAACATTTTTTTCTATTCAATCCATTCATCCTTTGTCTTGAGTTTGGCTGAGAGTCTTTTTGTCGGACACTTTTAGGACTTGCGTCATTTCATTGGCTTGAACGTCAGCCGCTTGTGATTCTTCCGATGAATCTTCAGCATCTCCCTGCCGCGGATGGGCATCCGCCTGTTTCTCGGCTGCGCCTCTCGTTGAACAGGCCCTCTGCGACACTCGTGGCGGTCCGTGTGGTCCGAACGTCGCCTGTGGGGAGAGCCCAGGCAGGGTGGGTGGCCTAAAAGGGTGATGGTGGGGGAGCCTAAGAATGGGACTCTGCGATTGATTTCTTTGGATGGCAGGTCACGTGAGCAGTTGCAGAGTCTTTTTCTCCCCAGGTTTTGCGGTCGAGTATCCTTTTAGGTGCCGTTGTGCCCTGATTTCCTTCCAGAGACCTCTGACAGATCCGGTCAAAGAAGATCGTTTGAGATCTTTTCTACTTCCAAGTATGCATCCAATCATGATGCCCAACCCTGATTCGATATACCGAGCTCCTTTGCTCGACTGGCCACTGAACTTTGACACCGTGAATTCAGCTTCGCCGCCGTCTGCGTGCCTAGCGGCCTTTCAGATGCTTCTTGGCGCTGAGCATAAGCCTGTGGACGCTTCGTGAGGCCGAGAGACTGTGAGGCTTTAGCGTTGCAGGATCCTGCAAACAGAGCTGTCCTGTTTGCCCTTGTGTCTGGTTTTTTGGGGCACTCATCTCAATCAGTTGAATTTTTCTCAGCCTGAGCGAGTCAACCCACATCTTCTACTTCTCGCTTCGAGTGCTTAGCAAGACCGTGTGGTCTTGGTGAATGTCTGCGACCGCTCAAACTCCCTGGAGAACTTCACTGGACTTCGTGTTGCGACCGCTCAACTTCCATCACAAGGTCTTTGGTGGAGCTGGTACAACTGTCCATTTTCCAGACCAGACATGTAGAGAAGCGGGAACAGGAGTGTTGAAGGGAGTGCATTGATTCGATCATTCGCAGCTTTGGCTGCATGGGAAGCGGGTTGGTCTAGCGCCAAGTGTTGGTCTAGGCGCCGTATCAAGCAAACGGACTCTGTATCAATATTTTTTAAAGGGATTTGGTTCTCCACCCCAGGAGTGATTCGAAAGGTCTTCCATGGCCCTCCGCCAAATGAATGCAGGTGCCGCGAGCGCTCTTCCCAAGCGCCTTCGCGACAAAGGATGGCTCGCTCGACAAGGCGCCCAATCTCGGCGCTCGCTCGGCGCTAGCTTCGGGACGCGAGGCCAAGTGAGGGAGTAAGCAAGATGCCAAAATGGTACGTGAACGAATTTAGAGTATATATATATAAAAGTTAAGATGATTTCAGTGACAGTTGAGTGTTTTAAACATGTGTTTTCTCTTTAGTGAGATTTATCAGCTGTTCTTTGAAACTTTCTTGCTTGGGCGGGGTTTGGACAGTTTGGGATGGGAGAGATCTTGAATGAGCAGTGTCCTGGTTGGTGGAAGGTTCCGTGAAAAAATATTTGCCAGGCTGAGGCAATCAGCTTTTACAAACTCTCTGGTTTTGCGGCAGGAGCTGGCAAGCTTGGGCGTGGTGAGCCGCAGGAGACCACCTGAGTTGAGGGTCCATGCCGCAGGGACTCAGATCAGTTGCAGATATTGTTAGGAACCTGTATCTTGAAGCATCAGGATTACGCCTGGCCCTGGATGAAGACGTGCTTCACTGGGCTCTTTCGGGTGGACAGTCCAGTGAAGCGAAAACGACGTCCGGGCTTTCAGCGAACGGTCCGGGCACCGGGCAAAACGGTCCGAGGCAGCTGAAAGGGATGATCCGCTCGGGACGAATCACCATCGACGGTGAGGTGCGGTGCGAACGCATCGACGGGTTCGACCCGTTGGGAGTTGCTGGTGCTATGCTGGTTCTATCCGGATGGGCCCCTGTTAAGGGCAGTCTTGGGATGTAGAGGAACCGGAGAAAACGCGAAGACTTTATCCAAACAAATGTGTCAAGTGATAAATTTGATGCAAAGCAAAAGGCATACGACGACGTCCTCATCCGCTGGGGCAGGTCGTTCGCAATCCGAAGCAAACAGCCCGGGGCCTTGTTTGCCCTGTATCTGAGACGAAGGGAAACCTTCGAAAGCCATTCAAAGAACGGTGTGAGCTTGAGCACAGCATTCCATACAGACAAAAGCAGACTTTAGAAGACGACTTTCCGATTACTTTCCTTGACAAACCGGAAGTGCCATCCACGTCACCGTAAGTGATGTGTTTGTCGGTCCTTCTGTCCTTCTCAGAATGGGGTCCCGCTTTGGAAGGGGGGCGTCCTCACCTACCGGCTACCGGTTCTCTTTGGTTCGGTGGGTCCGAACCGGGCTTTGGAAGGGGTGCGAGCCAGAAGGTTGCCTTCCGGAGCTGGTAGATGCCCGTGAAGTCCTTCAAAAAGATGCCCGTGTCCGCTGTCAGTGGCCAGACTCTTCTTTGCTTCAGCATCTCATGTCATTTCTTGGCCACATAACCCTCTAGTTATATGCCCTCTTTTCAATTTGCTGTGCCAGTACTAAGGAAGAGAACTTATCTGTCTGGAGCTCTCCTAAGTCGATCCCTGTCAGTCGAAGTCTTGCAAAAATCATCCAACTTCCGACTGACCGGAACGCAGTGAATCTGCACGGAACGGCCATGAACGGCACGTTCGCTGGCGATCGACGCAGGTCCCCGCCGAGGCCACCTTGGCGATCGACGCGGTGCCGCTCCATCGGGCCCGGGCGCCGAACGCTGCGAGGGAACGTCTGGCGGGGGGATGGCTCTGGGACGCAGGTTAGGACAAATCTGTTGGTTCAGTGTTCCCTTCAAACCAAGCCGCTGAATCTTTGGTGGTTCCTTGGTGCTGTCACTGCGTCAAGTGTTCAGGGAGGGTGCATTGCAAGTCCATGAAGTGCGCCTTTGAGCGACGCGTCACTCCGCCGACCTTGAGCAGCTGAATTCCAAAGGGCACCGTTGATGGAATTTGTCGCCAGCAAAAAGCGATGTATCCGATGTGGGTTCCCTCGTGGAGGCCCCCTGCCATGGGGGTGTTGTTTTTTTGCTGCTGCTGCTGAGCTTGTTTTCTTGTTTCTGTTGTGTGAGTTTTTGCGGTATGACCTGAACCCAGCTTTGGTTTAAAGGGAGAAGGCCATTCCAGAATGTTTGCTCCCGAGGACCCGCCAGTCTTGTTGAAATTTCACAAGCCGTACGATGTGATCTCTTCGATGGATGAGAAAAACCGAAGAGCCGGGGGTGCCAGAGGGACTTGTAAAAGAGGTGTGCTGTGAGTCTGTGAATGGTTTGTGTTGATGTGACTTTGATGTTAGGCCACTGTGAACACACAAGCCTCATCATCATCCTCAGAAGCTTAAGACATGGTTCGTTTCAACAACCGATTACTGCAAGAGGCCGCACTTTGCTTTCATTGCATGGTAATCAATAGAAGGGAAAGTCTCATGTGGGGTCGCTCGTACAGCGGAGGGCCAAAGACAAAGGTCGAGTGCGTTAAGGTGCCCAAGGACAAAGTTGCGTGGCTTCTGGGACTAAAAGATCATGTATATTTAGGTGGGATTGTAGTGGAGGTTGATTAATATGAGTGAATATGAATATATACAACATGTATAGGTACGTCGGCCTGGAGCGTAGCCTTTGGATGAGCCAGGCAGTGCGTGTTTTGAGGATCTCTCTGATGCACTTCCTGGGCAGCGAGCTCCCTGGGATGAAGAAGCGGTGTGGATTCCCGAAACCAGACCACCTTCCGATGTGTTGCATGTGTGTAAACATACAAAGGTTCAGCCTTTTTTGGGCTGTGCCGTGCCCCTTAGCTTGGAATTGGTGGCAAAATGCAGATATTTCTATATTAATATACAAAGAGACCCCCAAATCGGTAGGAAAAGCCCCACTAAAAATGTGTTGGACACCGTTTCTATCAATTGGGGGACCACTATAGATTGATTGGCTGGGGTTCACTTGTTGCCGCAGCCCTGTCCTAGCACCCGGCCGATCTTCCATGCTGGTTGAGAACGGAATGGGCTCGTCAGTCGCCGGTCCAGGTGCCCAAAGGGGCAAAGGTTGTAGGACTCGGAAGGCGGCAATAGCAGGATTGAGTGCGCAGCTTGACATTTCTGGATTCTATGGATGACATGTTTTGGTTCTTGTCTTGAGGGCCCCAGCGCGGCTAGCTTTGTAAGCGAGGCTTCCAAACTTCCCAAGGGTGGTGTGGAAGAGGGTGCAAGTGCAAAGCTTGTCCTCAGGTCTGCGTTCGCCCAGTCAGGACAGGAGTAGGACCCGTGCGTGAAGGGATGTGTGAGGGTGAGGGGTGACTCACATGACTCACAACAGCACACGGCCAAAAAAGTTTTCTTTTTCTGCAACTTGGGAGTTTCACTCAATCGAGTAGCAAAGTCTCAGCTATGCCTCAGTTCTTCCGAGGCATACCCCGCCTGGCGAACAAGAGTCTAACACATACCCCATGGCACCTGAAGGGGAAGGAGGATTTTCTCCCTTCGGCGATGTTTCCTCTGCTCACAAGGCACTGAAACAGCGTCCTCTTTCAATGGTGTGAAATTCATCCGCTCTAAGGTCCAAGAAACTCGAGTGGCCCTTGGGGGCCGAGTAAGCCTGCCTCATGGCTGCATTTTTGGGTGGAGCAGCTCTAGTTGAATGACAAAGTCGGACCAAACTCTCCGGTGTTGCCACGGAAGAAGGACGAAATCTTGAGTTCAATGAGATCTTGAGTTCTCAGTGTTGGTTTGGTGGGAGAACATTGGGGAACACCATGATTCTGGTCTCTAACGGAGTCCCAGGTGAGGCACAGAACCAGCTGTACTGATTCAGAGCCACCCTACTTCTTTTTCACTGATTGAGAAGGGAAGTCTCGTGCACAAGTAGACCGGTGACGGAAAAAAGAGACACACCTGTAGTCTTTTGATGTCTGATTTTTCAATTTTCCAGGTTCCACATGTTCCCTTTTTGATGCTGACATTGCTCTGGCAACCAAACACCGCTGGACTCCGCGCGTGGCGGACGTGTCGGCCGCCATCTCCTGGTGCTCGACCAGTCCGAAGAAGGATCGGTTGGACGGGTGGACACGGGGAACTCGGGCAGGCCGGAAGTGAAGGAGATCTTAATTTCCGGAGGCCTGCAGTGCTTCGGCCTGAAAAGAAGGAGGGAAGTTTGGGGGGCAAGTGCAACATCCGCAACAGATGTTTGGTGGACGTTTTTGGTTCCTGGAGGCTTATATAAGATGGAAAAACCTTCCAAACCCTGGAGGCCTTTCGGTGGGTACGAAAGGATGCCAAAAGAAAGGAGTGACGACACGTGGTGTGGCACATCCAGTCCCAGAGTCGAGAAGTGACGCGTCGCTCGGTGCGAGTCCCACGCCCCCATAAAATTCCGTGGCTGTTGTAGGGGTCGACATGGATCCTATTTTTGAAGGTAAGTAAATTGTATTTCATTCAAGTGTAAGGTTTGAACATTGTAAGATTTTTAAGGTAAGTAGATCTTGAAACGTGTAAGATTTTGGGAGGGCAACACTCAGGTGAACTTGTGTTTGAGAAGCAGCCTTCCTCTGCTGGGAGGGCCTTCCGAACCGAGGCCGTGGGTGGCGGTGAAACAGTCAGCCACTGAGTGGGTTTGAGGGTGAAGCGCCCGTTGCGGAACTTCCACGGTGAAGCGCCGGGTGATGGAAGTACTAGTCACCAGTCTGTGTGGAGTAGATACTCACAGGGACACCATGGCCATCCATAGCCTCATTGTAGGAAGTCTCCATTTTCTCGCTGATTTCTTGGGGAAGTCTCAATTTTCTCCCATGCTTCATTCCTGGTTCATTTGCGACACAGTGAGATTCTTAGCCAAGTCTGTTGCTGGCTGCTCTTGGCAAGGTATCATCCTGTGGGACGCTTGGATCGAGACACCACAGGCGGCTTGGATCGCTTCCAGCGGTTGAAGGGTGGGATGACGACAGCTCCCATTTGGAAGGACGTGCGGCGACGGCCACTTGCGCCCATTTCGCCGACACTGGGCTTCCAATGTTCCAGGTGATCACACGTTCCTGCGCACTTCCTTCGACAAAATGATGGACAAAGTCATGACTTCAGACCTACATGGTGGAAATCGGTTCGGCACCCATCCACGGGAGCGGAGACCTGCATCGTACTGTTTCCATCGGAGTCTCCGGACCGAAGAGTCGTGTTGGTGCAAGTGGGACGAAGGAATCTCTGGAAGAGGGTGGAGGAAAAGAACATACATTTAAGTAAACAACACCCAGAATGAAGAAGCTCCTGGCCTTACTACCTTGAGCAAGGACGCTACTAGGAGCAAAGGGCATCGCTACTAGGAGCAAGGACGCTACGAATGGGGCTCCTGGCATTGCTACTAGGGGACTAGTTCACAGAGGGGTCCGAGACGAAAGGCGCCCGTTGACGGCGGTGTTCATTGGCTGGGAATCGACAAAATCGACTCGTGACTCGCCAGGCTTGTTGCTCTTCAGCCGTGATGGGGTGTCTGCCTGGCGGTTTGGACGAAGACCTGAAAAAGGAAGAATGGGGCCGAAGAATGGGGCTGAAGGAAGAAGAAGAGGAAGAACAAGAAGAAGAAGAAGAAGAAGAAGAAGAAGAAGAAGAAGAAGAATGGAGCCTTTATTTTTGGGGGATCTGAGTTGATGCCAAACGCGCCTCCCTTTTTGGGCCCGGTGCGCGGACGGGTGCGTGGGACCCTTTTCCCCACCGTCCCCAGCAGTCGTGAAGCCACAGGATGGAGTTGCAAACAAAGCGGCGGCCGGGCAAGACCTGCCCGGCTAGGATCTCAGGAAATCACACCATCGCCCTCCACAAAGAAAACCCAGCACTCCACATCTCCGAGACCTCTTGCCAGAGGCTGCCAGAGGCCATGCGAAATCGCACGCGGGTTTTTGCTGTTTTCGGCACGTCGATGGTCGATGGTTGACCAATTAATGGCTTCATCGACGATTGCCAAGTCATGCAGACATTCCCGTTTGTACCAGCGTATGAACGGGGGCGTCCAGTGACGGGGGGCGTGTGGAAGTCAGATTTAGCCTGATTTCCACTTCAGGCTTTTGGAGCTATTAGAAACAAGTGCCACGCTAGTAGTAACAAGTGCCTTACTAGTAGTAACAAG